AAGGGCCAAGCGAAGCCTGGCAGGCAGCCGAGCCGCCTGTCCTGAGAACCTTCCTCTCTCTGAAGGCGCCGGGAAGGAGGGAAGGAAGGAAGGAAGGAAAGAGGGAAGGAAAGAGGGAAGGAAGGAGGGAGGGAGGGAGGGAGGGAGGGAAGGAAGGAGGGAAGGAAGGCGTCGTCGGAACTGAGGGGACCTGGCTGACCGTCACGGGAGGAATTGATCCCTCCAAAGCCACTTTCCCCTCGCCCGTCTAGGCTTGGAGGTGCCGGAGGTGTTATGTTTTAGCTAAACACCGAAGGGCTTCTGATAACAAACCCGGGACGGCTCTCAGTCCTGCAGAAACCGAGGCAGGCTGAGACTTCCATCCAGGCAGAGGGGTTCTTTGGCTCTGCTGATGGCCACCGCATGGCCGTGGGTGGAGAAAAATATACCGGGGTCTGTGTGCGCGCTGAAGACAGAAATGCAGGTCCTTTCTTTAAACTCTAGAACGGTGGAGGTTTTGAGTCGGTGGACTTCTAGAGCGGCTGGGTTCCAGTCCTTAGAAATGACGCAGCCCCCTCATTCTTCGCCGCGCGTTCACAATGAGCGCGGGTGGCTGGGTGTGCCAGAGAGAGTGCACACATTCGCAACCTTGTACACGCTGGCCCTGTGATGAAACCGACTATTCGTGTTACTGTGCTGAGGGCATAACTATGATGTGATTGATGGTAGGCCAGCGTGTGAAAACGCAAGAGTGCAACCTTGGTGTGTGCATGGGTATTACGCACCGCTCGGTCACTCTACATGCATACGATGTGCATAGGGATATACGATCACAATGCAGTTCTTACAAGATTCACAATGACATTCCCATGAAAGCAGGTGCAAGTTCTGTTCCCACAGGCACACAGGGATCAGATGTGTGGCTTTCGGCCTATGTACACGTAGCTAGAGGCAAGCCAACAACAGTCTAGCTAGAAACGCGGTCGTTCTGTCCCTGCAATCGTTCTACTGCATCGCCCGTCAACGTCTTCTCGTCCAGATTCATGTTCACACGCTATATCTTGCACACCCAGCACCACGTGTTTTCACCACAGCAGCGCCTCATGTGTGTATTTTGAAGCAAATAGGGTTAATCTCAGCGCGGATGATGCTTTAAAATATGCAGGTTCTTTCAGCCAGACGCCCGGGTTTTAGGGACGTTTTATGTGGAGGCGATTCCTATGGATCGCCACAAATACACTACTTTTTCTCTTCCCCTCCTTCCCACCCACCCCTGCGGGTCTCCCCCTGCATATCGGGGTATATCAAAGATTCCCTGGCGATCCAGAAGCCCATTTAGGGCGCTCTCTCTTGACTTGCTCTTTTTCCCACGAGCGCAGCCCCGAAGAACGCTGAACTCTGTCAGGCAAAGGCCGCTGGCGGTCATCCCGGATCCGCTGGATCCGCTCCACATCTCTGGAAAACTGAGAGGAGGAGGAGGAGGAGGAGGAGGAGGAGTTGGATTTATACCCCACCCTTCACTTGGAGTCTAAGAGTGGCTTACAAACTCCTTTCTCTTCCTTTTTTAGGAGGAGGAGGAGGAGGAGGAGGAGGAGGAGGAGGAGAACCGCTCGAGTCCCCCCCTTTTGTGCGGGGAAGCTGTGGTGGCTCTCCAGAGCCAAGGGCCGGCGGGCAGCGAGGGGCCTGCTGCTGCTGCTGTTGGGAGGGCCCTTCTCCTCGCCGGAAAGACAGCACCGCGTTCTGTCTTCCTGTCAAAGAATCGCCCGAATGTCCTGCTTGAAAAACAGGGATTTCAATACAGCCGGCACTTTATTTCTGGCGAGGGCGAAGGCTGGATCCCGAGAAGAATCGCCCGTTCGGAGCCGCGGCCTCCGGTGCCGCCCTGGCCGGCTGGATCGACCGCTCAGCGGCGGCGAGGGCAGCCCCGAGACTCCAGGGCAGGGGCGGGCGGCGGCGAAGCCTCCCCAGCCTCCGGCGGGCCGGGAAACCGCTAGCCCCCTTCCTTCAAGGGCCGGCGGGCCGGAACCCTCCCTACTCGCCCTCACCCGCGGGTCGGGAGACCTTGGCAGGCCTCTGTGCGCGGGGGACCCGAAGGGAGACGGAGCCCTGCGCTCGCCCTGCAACTCTCCCCCACGCACGGGTGCCTGCCTGCCTCCTCCTCCTCTTTCCGGGCTCCTTAAATGCAGACGCCGCGGGTCGGAGAGAGCAGCCAACGGATGGCAGGCCGAGCGCAAGGAGCCGCGCCCCCCCCCCCCCCCGCCCCCCGCTTAGGCTCGCCAGCCAGCGCACAGTCGGATACAGGCAGGCCAGGCTGGTGCGCTCAGACGCAGCCACGCTTTTTAAAGAAGGGCCTGCTTCTTCCCACTGGATGACTGCCGGCTGAATGTGAGGAAGGGGCTTCCCGTCACCTTTGTGGCCCGGGGAACTCGGAATGCCGTGCTCGGCGATGGCCCCTTGGCCACAGCAGGCAAGTGATGGCTCGACCTGGCGGCTGCACCCGCTCTTTCAGACGGGAGCGCTCAGGTTCACGCACACCCGCGCAAGCCTTATAAACAGGGCCTTTTTGGACACGGATCCTGGAAAAAGGCCTTAACAACAGGGTTTTGTAAACACCTCGTTTGCACCAGGGGAGAGAGAGGCAGGGGAGACACGCACTCTCCCCCCCCCCGGCGCCACCCCCCAGCCCTTTCCCTTTCTCTGCCCTCTCCTCCAGATTTTCAGGCCCCCGAGCTCTGGTCCGGCCCCTTCCCCCTCAGTCTCTCCCCCCACGCCGACAGCTCCACACCGTCCCTTTTTGCTAGAGGCAAACAATGCAAAGTCTCTCTCTCTCTCTCTCTCTGTGATGTGGCCTTGGCGGCTGAAAGGTGCGACCCTTCTTGGGATTTAAAAAAGACAAATAAATAAATCCGGGAGATCGGGCGGCGGAGCTGCCATCCTAAGAGCCCGGCAATGAACCCCGGCTTTGGACTCGGCTGACCTCAGAGGGCTTCTCTTGTGAGCCAACTCGGCGGGGGCTCCAGGGCTGCGGTCGGATGCACTCAAGCGCACCCCCCCCCCCCCGGGGTTTTTTCGCGGCCGCCCGGGCCCGGCCCGGGTTACCCGGTGCAGGACCCAGCCAAGCGCCGCCCTGCCCCCCCTCCTGCCCACGGACCCGGCTCCCTCGTCCTCTGGATGACCCCCGCCCTCCCGCTCCCTCCCGCTCCCTCCCTCCAGTTTGTCAATGAATCCCCCCCTCCCCCCCTCCGCGCGTGGCCCCGCCCCCGGCCTTCCCCGATTGCTCCGCCGCGGGCTCCTGAGGCGCCGCCCCCTCGCCCCCACCCGAGGCTCCCCGAGCCCTTCAGCCAATGCGCGCCGGGCCGTAACTTTACTTTTCTGATTGGAGGCCGAGGGGTTGAGTGACGGGTCAGCCCGGAGGGGGCCCCCCGCCCGCTTGCCGCGCTCCCCCCGCCCCCTCCCGGCTCTCCCACAGGCTGGAGCCCCCCGCAGCCGCTGTCCACCCATCGCGGGGTCCTGAAAGCTGGGCTTGAGTGAAGCGCGCCACTGGGCTGGGGTGCCCGAGCTTGGAGACGCCGAGCCACCCTGCCGGCGCCCCAGGGGAGAGTCAGTGGGGAAGGCGCCCGGGGCTTGAGCTCCCAGGGGTGGGTGCGCGCGCGCCTGTGTGCGGGGGTATCCGGCTCGCGCCTCCCTCGCGCAAGGGAGGGGAGCCGGCCAGGTGGACACCTAGGCGCACGCGCGCAGACACAGAGGCAGGCAGGCAGGCCGACCGGCCAGCCGCCTGAGTGCCCGGCGCTCGCTCCCTTCCTCTGCGCGCCCCCCCGCGCGCCCCCGACCCTGAGAGCGCAGCGCGGGAGGAGCGGGGTAAACTTTCCGCGCGCGCCCGCGCGCAAAAAAGGGGGAAGAGCGCGTGAGGCGGGACGCGTGGCGCGCGCCACGAGCAAAACACGCCTCTCCCTCCCCTCCTGGCGCTCTCTCCGCCTGGCTCTCTGGCGCGCGGCGGGGATGCCGCTGGCAGGCTCGTGCTGCCGCCGCCGCCGCCACCACCTCAGCCGCCGCCGCTGCTGCCGCCGCCGCCGCCGTTCCCCCCGCCTCAGCTCCCCTGGCGTCTCTCCAAGCGCAACTTCCCGCCAACTTCTGCGGCCGCCACCGCCGCCACCGCCTCACTGAAGGCGCCCCGCCGGACCCCGCAAAAGGAGCCGGCCGAGCAGGGGACGGAGGGAGCGGGACGGAGCCCGAGCCCGGCTTCTCCGACGCCTCGCGGGCTCTCTGCGCCTCAGGACTTTGGGGACGGCGACGACACCTGGCCGGGCCGGCCGAGGGGGGGGGCGCGAGAGGAGGCGGCGGCGTGCGTGTGTGTGTGTGTGGGGGGGAGCCCCGTCCGGCCGCCTCGCCGCAGACAAAAGGAGTGACTGACCCCCGGCGCTCGCCTCGCCGCCCCCCAGCAGCCCCTCGCCCCGGCCGAGAGAGGCGGCCCGGGCTCGAGGGGGCGGGCGGGCCGGAGCGGGAGCAGCCGCGCAGCAGAGCCTCCGCCGCGGGGGGCGTCCCCGGGCCCCCTTCGGGCTGCCTCCCCGTCCCCGTCGCGCCGGGCGGAATTAACTTCCCGCGGGAGGATTGTTGGCTTCGGGGCCGCCTTCGGGCAGGAGTGGCGCCGGGTTTGGGACCCGCCAGAGGGAAAGGAACGGGACGCCGCCAGCAGAGAGGCCTCTCCGGCGGCCCTGGGGGGAAGGCCAGCCTGAGGGGTGCTCCCTCCGCCCATCCATCCCTCCCTCCCGGGGAGTTTCGCCGCGCTCGATCGCCGCCCGCCCGCCCGCGGCGTTTAGCGCCACCAGCCCCGATGGAAATACACTGTAAGCACGACCCCTTCGCAGCCATGCATAGTAAGTAGAGGCGGGGGGGGGGGGGGGGGGGCCGCGGCGGCCCAGCAGCACGGCCCGAGGGGGGCGGATTTTTTGAGGGGCGGTTTGGTTTTTAATTTAATTTGTCCACGGGGTGGGGGGGAGCCGGGATGCCTCGGGGGGCATGGCTCTTCTGGAGCCGCTGGGTGCAGGAGACGGCCGAGGGCCGGAGGAGGAGGGAGCGCGGGACACAGAAGCCTCGGCTTCCGCGGGGGCGTCCCGGCCTCTTCCTCCCGCCAGGGCTTGCCGAGTTGGGTTCTGTGTGTTCGTGAAGCCCGAGCAAACCCGATCGAGCCCCCCACCCCACCCCAAGAACTCAGAGAAGGGGGGACGGCGGGAAATACCCTACGTATTTCCCCCTCGCGAAGGCAGCAGGACGATTTGAGAAGGAGGGGACGCGTTTCTTTTGAAAGTCCCTCCTGGACGGGAGGTTGGCAGCCGTCCTCCTGGACCCAAACGGCCCGCCGGAATGCCCCATGTCCCGTTTAAAGCGGCCATTGATTGAAGCAGGGGGTGGTGGTGGTGGGGGTGGTGGTGGAAGGGAACAGCCAGGAGGACGGCAGCAGCACAAATTCGCTCAGACCTCCGGGTGACACGGAGCTAAAGGGACCAGAACAGATCAAGGGCTGTTGCATCCAGACGCTGGACCGCAGGCTTGAGGAAAAGAGGCGCCCACAATATTGTTGGCATCCTTAATCCTAAACAGATGGACCCCGTCGATTTCGGTACTATTTACCGACCAAGCTATTAAACACTTCGGGAAATTTAGAAAGGTTCCCTCCGTAGGGGGTTCATTCCTCTTTTTCTACCCATCACCACTGGCACTTCTCCTTCCATCCTTTCCTTTGTGTGTGTGTGTGTGTGTGTGTGTGTGTGTGTTACAAAGTTCAGGGGTGTCCAACTTGACTTTTAACATTTAGCCGTTTAATCTAAATATAGGTTGGAAAGAGGAAGAGGGGAGAGTGAAAGGCCTTAGAAATATATATCTTTTTTTAAAAAAAACAAACCCCTTTGAATGTGAATGTCTTTCTAAAGCATCTTTAAGACGCTACTGACCTCCTCTCCCCCTTCGGCAGAAAACTCAGAACTATATTTAAAAGTTCTAGGGGGAGACGTTTAGTCTGGGATGGCCTCTGCTCTTTCCTAAACATGTGTTCTAAAAGGAACATGTCTTCTAAACGTAAATGCAGGTTTGATTAACGGGGAGCGTGGGGCTGGTTTTATTCCGGATGAGGCAGAATGTTTAAAAGGGCCCGAAACTTGGGGACTTTAAGTTAGCTGGCCTCGTGTAATGTGTTTGCATGAGATTTGTTGTGCTTGAGAGGGCTGGAGGAGATTTATCCATTAGCACAGTGTTATGTGAAATGACATCTTCTCTCATGGTGAGTTAAACGCCGGATTAGATCCAGAGATTTCAAGGAAATATTGGGTAGAACGAATCGTATTTCCCTCACGCACCGCAGTCCTTTTAACCAAGACGGCTGCTCTTTCCCCCCCCAATAAAAAGACTCTATATCTATCTATCTATCTATCTATCTATCTATCTATCTATCTATCTATCTATCTAACCTACCTACCTACCTACCTACCTACCTACCTACCTACCTACCTACCTACCTCAAAAGACATTTTCACTCACGTAGCAAGGCACGACAGAAAATTTCCTGGGAAGTATTGCAGGACCATTCATCTGTCTGAAAGAGCACAATCTTCATAGCTCGAATTAAGGCTGAAAACAAACGATTTTGGGGAGAAAAACAACAACGAGAGAATTTCTTTGTTCTTCAGATTTTGGAAAGAAATGTTAAATTAGTAGCGTGCGCAGTGGGGGGGAACCCCCCCCTACAGAATAGGGATATCGGAAACAGGGCACGCTGCCCCCCCCCCCCCCATCCTTGGACTTGCCTTTGTGCTAATTTGACGAGCGACCGTGTGTGGGGAAGCTACCAAGGGACTGGGAGCTCCCTCCATTAGCCTAAATAATTATAAATCGATATTTTGCTGCAGGAATTTGACAAGAACGAAAAACAAACACGGGAAGAGGATGGGGAAGGGCAGCCATCCTGGATGTCTTCCCTCTCCTCTCTCTCCCTCCTTGCCAATTTTACTTATGAAGCTGCGCGGAAAGAAAGGAAAAGAAGAGGCCGTTGTTGATCTTGGTTCGGAAAGCGGAGTGCTCGTGTCGACGCTGGTGTGTCCGGGGGAAGTGAGAGAGGGCGGCTTCTCCGCGCGCGAAGACCTCTCTCTGTCCTCAGCCAGAGGACGCGTTTTGTATTGTGCGACGCGCTCGAAGCAGCCGTCTAGCCCCAACCGTACAAGCCATCCCTTCTGTCACGCGACGTTTCCTCCGCTCACCCAGGAAAGCCGAGTGTCTGGCCGCTGTGCACAGGCTTCGCTGCTAAAGAAGGAGCCAGTTTTTAAAATACTAACCCAGTTTTAGAAGCTCTCTGAACCCAAGCCGCCCTTTTAAAAATGGAGAGAGAGTCCCTTGCCTGTGTTAAATAAGGGAACTTAAATAGGGGAAACACTCAAAAAGTCGTAAATGCAAAAGGCATCGAAATCACCTTAAGATAAGGCGGCTAGTCGATGCCTGGAATACAATACGGATGTTCTTCGCAGTCCCGGTCTGCGTTTTGATCCGAGGAATGACCGAAACTACCCCCCCCCAAAAAAAATAAATCATAAGCGGCGTCAAAACATACAGGCAGGGGAGAGAGAGCCTTAATGTACTGTGTCGAAGTGTGGGAACGTCTTGGTGCCATGAAAACTAGACCTTTACAGGGGTAAGAATCCTCCCCCCCCGCGTTTTCCCTGCGTATTTTGCCTACCTCTCACTCTATTTTTCATCATAATTGCTCAGAAGTAACTATGTGCTTATTTTTGTGAAGCTGGTAGTTTGGGGGGGGGGGTTAAACAGGATGTTTTGTACACTCGAGTTAGTTACTGAATTAGCCTGCGTTAACCCGGCTTCTTAATTAGCATGACAGAACTGGGCAGAGGGAGAGAAAGGACCTTCCCGCTACTTAGGAGTTTACCCCCCCCCCCCACGAGATTAAAAACTGCTCAGTTTCTCCAAGGTCCCCTATCCCTCACGTGTAAAGAAATCTTTGGCCTTGGCTCAGCTCCTCTCCTTCAATACTGTTTTTACTTTTAAAAAAAGCCTTCCTTGGTCCTTTGTTTAGGGTTAGGGTCGCCGTTGACCCACGGTCATTAAAGGCGCACTGAAGAAAAGTTAGATTTTGGAGACCTGAAAAAAGACTTCTTGGGCTTATCGAGGTTTCCATCCGACCAGCTCCGGAATGATCCTGCAAATGCTGAGTCTCCAAGACAAAAAACCTCAGTGCCACTTGCCTGCTGTCTCCTCTCTTGGATAATAGCATTGTTTTCCAAACTGAGAGGACGTGGAGAAAAAGGGGGAAAAACAAAAAACCCAGCTGTGAAAACTAAGAAAGCGTGAGAGAATGCGTAAAATATGGGCGTGCTCCCCCCCCCCCAGTGCTGAGTCAGCTGTTTCTTATACCGTCAGGAAGACACTGAGAAGCTGAATTCTGGACGAGATTCTTCGTGTAACCAGAAAATGCAAACGATTCCTTTTTAAACTGTGTCAGATAAAGAGAGGAGCTCGACAGAGATTGAAATTAAGCCTTGGAGGTATCAGAGAAAACAAACAAACATGCAGAAGCCAGAGATATTGGACATAAATTTCAAAGAGCCTGGTCTTATTTACTTAAAAAATTACAATAAAATAAGCAGCCGTGACAATTAAAATGAGTTGCATTAGATAGGCGTTACAGCAGGCAAAATATTAACATCTGCATGTAAATTGCATACTTCTAGGAAAAGGTACCGGCCTCTGTGACCCACTGGGCCTTTAAGCAAAAAGAGCACTTTGTACTCAGACAGAACCGCCCCCTCTCTAAAGCATGTAGGAGTATTTTCAAGTTTCCGGTTGACTTGGAGAGCTTTCCCTCTTCTCACGTGTAGAGTCTGGTGGACAAGGTAGTCCATACATCTCCCACCCCTGTGTGTCTATACATAAGTAATGTGCCTGGTTTTACAAATCTATAATGCGCGTGGCACGAGGGTGTCTGCACTGGCATCATTCGACGTCCATCCTAGACTTTTAACACTTGCACGCAGTTCATTTCCTGTCAGCCTCGTTTTGTAGCAGTTTTCTACTGAATTAATTCCTTAATTCTGCACCACAGTGGAAAGTTGCTCCCCTCTCTCCTTGAATTCTAATCCTGCAAACTGAAAACTCAGACTGCCTGGGACTGGGAGAGAGATCAGAAGACTACCCTGTTGGTACCAAGTGACCAGCTATATCTTTCGTAGCCCAGGTCAGCCCAGGTGTTCTGAGAGAACGGACTATTTGACCTCCCAGGGGTCTCTTTTGATGTCTTCCGTTCCAATGTGCCGGACTGGTCTTTGAAGCTATCGAGAAGATCTGGTTCCTTCCTGCCCCCTCCTCCCCCTTTTGAAAAATTTCTTGTTTCATAATGATGAAGGTTATGTGCTGGACTGGAGCAGAAGGAGGCATCCCCGCGGATGGATCGTTTTCTTTTTCATTTGAGCAAGTTATTCCCTTTCCGTACCATAAATTTCTCCAGCAAGGAAAATGAACGGCATAAATCCGGAGGCCCCTTTAACTGCCAGCGAGGAGGCTCTGGAAGGACGTGGGCTCAGCCCAGTCTGCAGATTATATTTTGATGTACTTTAGCAACCTACAGATCCAGCCCCACCGAGGGAGAGTTCCCTTTTCCTGGTCCTCTTTGCAGTCCAGACCGACTGAAGAAGGGGAAGCTCAAATTGCCTGTTTTTTTTAGTGCTGGGTGAAAACCAAAGGACTTTAGGCTGGGAAGTAAGCCACTGGGGCAGGGGAAGGGAGGGATAGGGGGACTGCTTTTTCTAGAAATAATAATTGGCGTATCCTCTGTGTCTTCACATGTCAGCATTCGTGTGTGTGTGTGTTAGGCTTTTCTAAAACATCAGCTTGCTCAAACTTCAGTTACAGATTTTCCTGGCATCCATCCATCCATCCATCCAATTTTCCTGGCATCCATCCGTCTGTCTCCTTCCTTCCTTCCTTCCTTCCTTCCTTCCTTCCTTCCTTCCTTCCTTCCTTCCTTCCTTCCTTCCTTCCTTCCTTGATTCAAAGTGTGTAACTCAGGAGAACTGATATCGCATTTCCCCATATGTAGATCCACTGCTTTCCTGCAGTCCAATGGACGTTCATCTGAAATAACTGCCACTAAATTCAATAGGACCTATTCCCAAATAATGAGTATAGGGTTGCAAGGGGCAGTTCTTTAAACAGGTAGGCTGTTTAAATCCCATTAGCATTAGTGGGATTTAAGCAGCTCAACTAGGCATGGGCCTGTAGCCGTCACTGTCTTTTATTAAAACATTTGAGGGAGGACATCCAGGAGAAATTGGTGTTATTGGTAGAATTAGTGAGTCTTGTGGCCTCAGTGGTCCTTGTGCAATAAGATGCTAAAGATTCTCCCTCATGTTGACAAGTTACATTTTGTTAAAATATCCGTTATCCTTACATTTGGAAATTATCCTGATAGACAGTCATTTTATGCTGACTTGTGGGGATTTTTTTTTGCATTTAATTAGTGTAGATGGCTAAAGTTTGTTAAATTTGACTTCATCAAGGCTTCACTTTCTCAGAACAGCCTGTCTGTCTCAGCTAGGAAGTTTAAACTCTAGGCTGCATAACTTCTAGAGCAAGTATATGTGAACAACCAAGTGAACTGATAAACCACACCCATTTCTGGCTGTTGCAACGTTAACTTGGATTTTAAATCAATAGGTATTGCACTGAAATGTATAGCTAATCAAGACCTAAATGTATATAGTTCCTTTGTCTAATCTTGATTTGCACAGTTATCTATAATTCTGGAGGTTTCTTTGACAGCAAGCAATATTTGTATTTACAGAAAACAGATGGTTTGGGAGGGGTAAAAGTAATTACTGAAAATCCTGTATAGTCTACTATACTACTAAACTAGAGTCTAGCTGTATGGTGGACTATATAGGACGTAGCTCTTAATTCAGATAACACCCCCTTCCTTCTTTGTCAATCAAGACAGAATTTTATGGTTCCAAAAGAAGAGATGGGCATTTCCACATTTTTTAAAGCATCAAATTTAATTTCTGAGGTAAGAGCAGCTTTGAGTCATACCCAGTCAGCTGAAAAAAAAAAATAAGAAAAAAAAATCTTTCTTCAGAAATGGCAGAGAACTTTAGCTGAGAGGTGACTCCATGTAGGGTCAAACTGGCTTTAGTAATCGAGCATTTTATAATGATTTGTTACATGTTCTGGCAAGTTTAGATGATATTTGCAAAGTTTGACAGCAGTTTATCCATGGTGAAATGACTGGATTTAAATACAAGCAGCTTTTATTTGTAACCGATTAATTTAACACAGAGACAGTTTGGTATGTCAGCCTTTGCAGTTCAAGCCCCTCTGTAAACAGAGAGATTAGTTTATTGCTTTTGCTCAGTTGTTTGCCAGTGATGCTGGTTGCCACAGTTATTTGTTCACAACATTGCCACTTCTCTTATATTATAAGTGGTTTACATGATTAACAATTTGAGAGTTAATTGTATTTTCTCACTCATCTACATGGCATTATATTTTGCACTCATCGATTTCACCCAGTTAGCTGCTATTCATCTAGTGAGGACCTCTTTCAGATTTTATGTTTTGTCTTAAAGAGACTAGAGAAAATCTGAAGTCAGGAATTATGCTGTACCAAGACTGGCTGAACCATTTCATTCCCATACTAGAATCCTAATACATTCAGAGATGGTTGTAAATTATATCAGCCAGAAGTTATTCCATGCACATACAGGGTCTTTCTTGAATATATTTGCAATTCAACTGTGAATCTGAAAGGGGGGGAAAACCCAGTGCTTTGGCAGAATCCATATTTCGGTCAAATAAGCTACATTTGTGAAGACAATAGTTTGCCAATAGTATAGGCACCCTTCAGAATTTACACAGAAATAAGCCTGATATTATCTTAACAGTACTTCAAAAAGTGAGCAGATTTCTGACTTACAGTTGTCCTCTTAAATCATATAATTCACATTTTGCTAAATGTTCACAAAGATCGGCTTTAAAATAACTTTCAAAAGATAATTTTTTTAACAAAACCACAGGCCTGACTCTCATACCACACATTCATGGTTACTGAAGCAATTAGAGCGACACAAGTGTAAAATTGCTATCAGTGTCAAATTAGGCTTCAGTAAATAGCATTGTTCCTTCTCCTCACAGCAAACAAACCACAGTCTGCATTTTAAGAAATGCCAAAACTCATGTCAGCGTCAAGAGAAGTTGTTCAGTGCTTGAAGTAGAGGGGAACCTGTGAGCTGAGCAAGAACTTCCAAGAGTGTCTTCATAAAGAGTCACAAAGACATTTTTTTTTCTCTGCTTGTTTTGTTTTTGTTTGTTTTTCCCCCCATATGTTTCAGGACATGGAGGAGTGAATCAGTTAGGGGGTGTTTTTGTGAATGGGCGACCGCTCCCTGACGTAGTTCGCCAAAGGATTGTGGAACTTGCCCATCAAGGCGTCAGACCGTGTGATATCTCCAGGCAACTCCGGGTCAGCCATGGCTGTGTCAGCAAAATACTCGGCAGGTAAAAAGATATCAGAAATAACTTCATTTTTTTTTAAAGTAAATGTTAGATAACTCTTTTCAGTTACAAAAGATAAAAAATAGCTGAGTTGGAGACTAGGCAGATTTGTAAAGAGAGGAAAACCCAATGATGAGTAGAATTTTTGAAGGATCACTTGTACAGGCAATGTTCGACTCGTCAGAGCTGAGATATGTATTAAAATACATTCTTTCAACTAAATTTAAGGGATAGATGATATGTTTCCTACTGAGTTAAGTAGGCAGCTCTGTGAGTCATTTACAACAGTACAGAAAACTAAAAAGTCAATGATTAATCATTCAATTAAATGAATGATTTTTGTTATCTAAGAATCACTCTACTTTAGTATTTACAGTCACCATTATAAAGTCCCCTCTATTTCAAGAGAGCCACCCAAACCCACTGTCAATGCGGCACTTTTTGGGATATGCACCAGAAAAGTCAGCTGTGTTTTAATCCAATTTAAATCAATGAGTTTAAACCTTTTACCTGGGAACATGGCCATATTTTTGTTATTGTATTTTATTGTAATTTATTGTTTTTAAACTATGTGTTTACTGTTTTGACCTCGGCACATGGTGCCCTTGTTAGCTGCCCTGAGCCTTCGGGGTAGGGCGGGATATAAATTCAAATATAAATAAATAAATAAATTTTCCCTTTTTGAACGTTGCAAAAATAATGCAGTTTGAAGTGTGCTTTGTTTACGCAATGAAGTGAATTTGCAGGTAGAGACTGTTCTTAATTTTTGAAATTTAAGTTCGCAGTGGAGATTCCATAAACAACAGCAGAATAATTTTTAAAAGTACACATTTCTATTCCCCTCCCCCACAATTTAAAACATAATTTGACTTAGGCTGACAAATAGTATGATTTGGGGGCATATTGTGTTTTGGAGCACAAACCATGATATGAGTTTTCACACATACTAAATACCACACTTTCAATCCACTTTGCAACTGGATTTTACCGTGTGAAATGGCAAAATCCACTTGCAAGCGGTTGCTGAAGTGGATTGAAACGGCATTATTTAGCTTGTGTGAAAGCGATTTTCAGAGTTTTTCTTTCATTGAAATAAACTGGCCAGATACATTAAGCGGACAGATGATTGCACTTATCACCCTGGTTCTTTTGAATGCAGAACGGGATTTACCTATTGCTCTGCTTTCCATGATATTCAGGACCCACCTCCACACATGGAAAGCTTATGCTGCATAAAAATTGTTAGTATTTAATTTGCTACAGGGCCCTTTTCTGCTATCCACCTACCCAATATATTTGGAAAAAAACTGACTTATCGCAGGTTACTTTATTTTCTGTTAGCGCTCTTATTCCTTCCACCCTAACTAATAAAAGGCTGTGGTTCCAACAATTTTTGTGAGAACTAGTGATTAATGTGGGATGCAATAGTATGCACACTGACATGGGAGTAAACCCCCTTGAACAGAATGGGATTTACTTCTGAGTAAACATGTGTACACAACAAGCTATGTTTTTTATCAACTCTGCTTCAACAGCATATATTCATATTAAATTTCACCTTAACTACCATCTCTCCTGTGTTTTTAATATACTTTTTAAAAAGCCTGTAATATCATAGTTGTAAACTGTAATTGGAAAGCTAATGCTCTGCAAACAGAACCTTTTCCCTTGGAAAGTTATGCAGTTTCACACTAATTAGAATAAGACTTCCATAAAATGTAATTTTGATAAATCAGGGCTCCTTTTAAAAGGGCATTCTTTCCACACCACTGCATATGGTTTCTTGACGATGGGTACAAATTCTACCCTGTTCTGAGTGTGGTGAAATCTCAGCTGAATCAAATGACTCTGTATAATACCCAATGCTGGTGATTTTTTTCCTCTGTCCTTACTTTGTACATTGTTTTCAAACCTAAGAGTCAATAGTAAGATGTAGTTGTAGGATGTTATTGTAAGAAAGAACTTTGCTGTCATATATTGGTGTGGGGTACCAGCATTTCAACAGCCTAAAGGGAATCAGTCCTGATATTGTACTGTTGCGTATGGAAATAACAAGGAAAGAAGTTACAGTTCTAGTCTAAAACTGCTTATTTTGAAACTGTTCATCTGTGTGTACGTGGGAACACTCTAGCCTTGGGACTGTAGGTTTAAAAAATTCAAATGCATTTAGTATTTCCTTAGGTAGACAGAGCAGTGAATTCAATAAAAACGCTGTCATAAATATCAATACTATTAGGACCGTGCAACTAGAACCAGTTTTGATATCCTACCACAGGCCATTACTATTTTTGCGTGATATATGAAATCTTATCTGAGTGCTGTTTCTTAATATGGAATATGAATGGCAACAGTCAGGTTGCTGACATTTTTCTCCCCCATCCCTTTCCAAGTTGAAGATTAGATAACAATTTCTACTAGGATTAGTGAATAAAACTAATAAACAGGAAACTCGTTTACTTACCAGGGAGAACATCAAACAGTTTTTACTGTTCCTGAATAGATTTGTCACTAGATATATTTGTGTTACTGTGGAGCTAAGAGTTGAGCTCCGGAGCTTTGTCATTTAAGTTGTCAACAATAAATTGGAATTTCATAGCTCATTATTTTCATAACTAATAATTACAGTTGGTAAAATGTCACTGTAATTGGAGCTCTCTCTCTCTTTCTGGTGTGTGTGCATAAAAACATAACGTGATCGCACATGTAGAATAAACTCGATTACAAATTTTGGAGTCAATATTTCTTAATTTACAACATTGGCATAGAAGAATGAGCAAACACTGTGGGCTATCCAGAGAAACAAGTATCAGCCATTGTTTCTGCACATAATGTGCTGTTTCTGAGCCGCCCTGGTTATGAGCACAGCTGATAGTGTTGTTGGACCAGACATGAACAATGTTGACTCTTTTGATGGTGTCTCTGTTGGCCATGAGAATCCCAAAACAGGATCTAGAGTCATTGGGTGGCCCTCATCCCAAATATGGGGCTCAGTACAGATTCTTCTGTTCAAGATTGAACATTGCATCCTGGGAACTGTAGTCTCTTCAGACTATACATTAAATATGAGGGCGGTTTACATAAAGTTGCCGTTCATAGCACAGAAGAAATGATTTGACCTTATTTTGTCTGATATGCATTTTCACATTTGGGTATTCTGGTATTGCGGGTAATAACAGTGATACTATATATTGGATCATGCTATGATCTTTCACCCTGGCTGTCATTTCCCCCCCTTTTTTGCTGGGGTGTATATGAGGTTCAGTAGCCAGTCTGATGTAGAATCCTGTTTATCCACATTTTCATAGATGAGTGGCATAGGACCCCACAGACCATGTTGGTAGCTGCTTAGTTTCAAACAGTGTCCTGCTATCAGGAGGCTGGTGTAGTACAGTGAACAAGTGTATCTGGAAGTCTCTGGTCTGAAGCTTGCTTTGGCCATGATCTCAGAAGGCTGCTTTTTACACACCACTCTCTTGGATAACAATACTGACCCACCTGATAATATTGTTGTAAGGATTCCATCAATCATAATGTATATAAAGGGCTTTTAAATCAGCTCGAACTTTTATAAATGTAATGTTATTGTTCCTATCAGATGTTCCCTGATCGTTCATTGGGCCTTCCTTTATAGCTCATAAATTGACAAGTATCCAAAATACAGGATTCAGTTACTGAGGAAGAAAGTGCATGAAAAAAAAATGTAGTAAGTTAGACATTTTGCTTTTAAAACAACAACAAGAACAACAACAACAAACTTTCACAAAACCTTTCAGTTGATAAGGACCTGGTTTATTAGGACTGAAATCCTGATTCATAAGCTGATTATGGTTCATTTTCTTGAATATGAATCGGTTCCATTGGCTTTCATGGGAATAATCTGATTTAAATTTAAATTCTGTACCATAACTCAGTTGAGATTGATCAAAACAGGACATTCATTTCACAAAGGCCTTTAAGCAGCTATATTTCCTACGAATTGTTTTTACAATATTAACATGCACCATCCATTAGCGGACCGTAAAGGAAGCATATGAATGAATGAATGAGCACAAATGCATTAGAAGAGGTCAAGCTTTGAGTCCCTACCCTTTAGGTTCAGGTATAGTATCTCAGAAGACTCTGGCGTACTGGTTCCCAAAGTGGGCAATACCGCCCCCTCGGGGGTGCTGGAATGATCCAGGTGGGCTGAAACGATCCAGGTGCAGATCCACAACCTGTATCTTTTTGTCCACTTCTTGAAGGTAGATGTCCAGGGGTGGCGCTGAGTAATTTTTTTTCCTGAAAAGGGGGCAGTAAGCCAAATAAGTTTGGGAACCTCTGCAAGTTAAGCCGTAAGCAAGTTAAGCCATTTCTTCCACAATCCTATGAGAACAGCATACACTGGGTCTAAGTTTTTAGATGAAAAGTGGACTAGAAATAAAGCAGTAAAAAAAGTGAGCAATGTCCTATTGTAATTCTGTTGCAAAACTATCTTTGATGCTTGTGGTTCTAGAAGAGCATTTTGACATCTTATGTCGTTCCTGTTAACAAGATGCTGGGCTCTAACAACAAGAGATTTCATTTAGAAATAATCGTGCAATATCAAAAACATGATGGGGCACTGAAACACAGTCAAATGCTGGATCCAAAAAGCCGATGGTGACTTCCTCACGTCAGAAACAAAATGGAAATTTGTCCTAACTGAATGTAGCATGGGTATATGGCTTCTGTACAGAAAAATGATAATTACAGAAGAGCTATTAACCACACAAAACTGTGATATGTAGCAAAATATACACACACCTCTGTTTTCCTTGTTTGATTTCTCAGTTGAGGCTATATGGGTTCGTTGCCATGACCTCAGACGGTGCCTGATCTAGTTCAAAACAGGGGACCACTGGGTTCAAAGAGTAAATTTTATTACCAAATAATTCCTATAATATACCTTCATTCATTTTATTTATGCCCACATAGGAGAAATACTTGGTAGAGTCTACTTACTGTTCTCATTAGTAAATTGCAATTGCTTACTTATGAGAATGGTGTTTAAATACAGTGAACTGATAAACTAGTAGAGCTATTTGCATAAATAAAGGCAGTGTTTGAGACACTAGGAAATAATTAATTTTTACTTCCTGAAAACATTTTTGCATAATTAGCATGTTAAAAATCCTGCAAGGAGTTAACAATTTGCATTAACTGCACTTTTTAAAATGGTACTATTTTACCTGACATCCAGTTACTTGGAAAAACATGGCAAGCTCTTTACAGTAATTTAATGCAAAGTGAACATGTGTAAAACCAAACCAAACCAAAACAAAAAACCCTGATGCTGGTGGATTTTTAAAAATTACTATTACTGAGTAATAACACATTTCAGTTAATTTTCATTTCAAGACAACTCTTTATATTTACATTACTTCTATTTTGCTACTTGAGAATCATGTGCACGCACACAAACACACTTGTTAAATACTAAAATAATATATAATCTATGCTCCTCTCAAAGAATTAAGGCAAAATTAAATACTTCTAAATCTATTACTATGGATTAGAGAATTATGTGCTAAAATCTTTCTAGTTGAAATCTTGACTTAGATTGTATCTGTAATATTTCTCGTAATTTATCGGAGAGCCTTAACTTTAGAGTGTATAATTGTCAAGACCATTGAAAAAATATTTTTGTGGACATAAATATATTTTTATTTCTTGAATTTTTGCCCTAGGTACTATGAGACTGGAAGCATTAAGCCTGGAGTTATTGGAGGGTCAAAACCAAAGGTCGCCACACCCAAAGTAGTAGAAAAGATTGCAGAATATAAACGCCAAAACCCCACCATGTTTGCCTGGGAAATCAGGGACAGACTTTTAGCGGAGCGAGTTTGTGACAACGACACAGTGCCCAGTGTTAGCTCAATTAACAGGTAAGACTATTCTGGACAATGCAAATGAGACACTCTCAACATTTGTTTACTGCAATTTATATTATTGAAAAATGGAATCAGACTGTTTTGGTCAGTTCCAGGATGTTCACAGGTGGAAAACTTACCTATTGCAAATCCTTTTTGTGTGTGTTCTGTTTTCCTCATGCAGCACCTAGGGTTTTTGGCATTCAGTAGGAAGGGCATCTTATGGGGAGCAACATAAAATTTTGCACCCATAGTAGCAGTATAGCCTCTGTCTTGCCTTTCCATATTACTCCTGATGCTTTATTTTTGTATTATGATTTGTAATCCATTTACTCTGTGGTTGTTCTATTTAAGCCATTGCTCCAAAATATGCAATTTTCAGGATGCACTCTTTGTGAATTATTACATTTATTCCTGTGGCACCAAACCACAGTAGCAATTTCCCTTTAATATTAAGGGGATTTGAGCATTCTCACTATGCCAGCTTAATCAAAATGGGCAACAAAATTCAAATATGATCTTGGTTTCAAACTTTAGAACTGCTAGCATCTGGTGTGAACTGATGGTGCTCCAGGAACCGCTGAGATATCACAGAGAGTCCAGGGTGCATGGTCACAAAAGGAGGTGGGCTTCCCAGATGCTCGTCTTGCACCTTTTGCCAAGACGTCAGAAAAACTTGAAAGCCCTGCTGATTTTAATTTTTTATTTTTTTTGCAAGTATGTTGTGTGTGTATGCCTGGAAATCATGGCTGACTTCTAGTGACCTCTAGTGGGGCTTGGACATTTCAGAGAGGTGACTTACTATTTCCTGCCTCTGCATCCCAGCCCTGGTATTCCTTGGAGGTCGCCCTTCCAAGTACTTGCCAGGGTCGGCCCTGCTTAGCTTCTGAGATCTGATGAGATTGGGCTTGCCTGGGCTATCCAGGTCAGGGCCAGCCCTGCTGATTTTGATATAACTTACATGCATCCTGCTACCCTTCAGGTTTTACGAATGGAATTTTGCCCACCATATATGCTATCTTGCTGATAAAAAAGTGTTCTCTTAAATGTTGAGAATCTATCAAGGAATGTACGGGGAATGGAAGATAATTTCTAAGCAATTTTGCTGAAATGTTTGCGATACACTAAGAACATTTGTACTGATTACATGCAATAAAAGGTGCAGTGTTCTTTTGTATGCCCCTTTTAGATGTCCCTTTGGAACTGACGCTAAATATTTCACGTCCTCACAGGATTAAAAATAAAAGGACTAGAGAGCGCTATGTACCAGATGCTCCATATACAGTAAATTCACCAATTTGGCCCCATAGTGGTCTATAAGTCTGAATGTATATTTTCACCCGAAATTTGTCATTAGTAGTACATCATTTCATACATTTTGCCAATCCAGACAACGCTGGGAACCTTTTCCCCCGGCAATTTAGTCATGATTAACTTCAGGCCCATTAATTTCAATAGGATTTAAGTGTAACCTTGTTTGGCTTGGGGCCGTTTTGTTAACTATTGGGCCTGTCCAAATATTAAAGGTTGACCTGTTTGCAAGACATTCATTGGCAATGATGGTGTAGAGAAAATAGAGTTTAAACTTATTTACCTGGATTTCTCAGATCTGAGGTCTTTGTATATATATTTATGTGGCTTATGCTTTTACTGTTATGAACATTCCAGGACTGTGGACAAATTAAATATGTCCTTCTAAATGAAGCTGTGCTGGTTTTGAATTTGTGAAAAAGTTCTGGCTAAAACTGAGAAGTAAAACAACAGCTTGAGACCTATAACCCAATTAAAAGAAAGTACTTGGAGTTAAGCCAATTTAGTCCCATGAATGTCAACCAAGCAGAGCTGGCATAAATTCAGATATTTCTGGGTTTTAGCTTGGGCTGTTTGAATGAATTCTTGCCCTGAGAAACAAAACAAAATAAAACCCTGAAACAATGGTATTTTACATTTGCTGGAGACCTTCGGCCAAATTCTGGAATCAGCAGTAGTGTAGGGTTGCCACCCTCCAGGTGGTGGCTGGAGATCTCCTGGGATTACAACTGATGTCCAGGCAACAAGAGATCAGTTCACCTGGAGAAAATGGCTGCTTTGGAAGGTGGACTCTGTGGCATTATACTAAACCCCGCCCTCCTCAGGTTCCAAAATCTCTGGGTATTTCCCAGCCCTGAACTGGCAACCCTGCTCATGCTATTGGCTATACTTTTACGAAGTATGCAGGCCTGACTCCATGCATATTTACTTGGGAAAAAAGATTGCTACTTTAACTTTGCTTTTATTAAATTGTCCAGATGACAATAATATTACTCTGATGCAACTTAGGTTTTTATCAACAGATACTTTAATAATGAAAAAAAAAATCTTTGGGATATAAAATAGTCCTGCTATGGTATCTCAACCATTGCATTAATTCTATAGTAGCGACTCTGAAGCATTAGGGTGTTATACTGGCACTGCTCTTGATGTCTGTTTGCCTCACTTATACCCCACTTTTCTCCCCAAGAGGAATGCCAGTGTGGCTTATGTCATTCCCCTCCCCTCCATTTTATCCTCACAGTGACTCTGAGACATAGGTTAGGCTGAGTGTGCGTGACTGAGCCAAGGTCAGACAGCAAACTTCCATGGAGGATTGGGCATTTAAGAACATAAGAAAAACCCTGGTGGATCAGACCAGTGGTCCGTCTAGTCCAGTATCCTGTCTCACCCAGTGATCAGTCAGTTACTCTGAAATGCCAACAACAGGGCATAGAAACCAAGGCCTTTCTCTGATGTTGAACCTGTTTCTCCCAGATCCTAGTCCAATGCACAGGGCCACCAGTGTACATGGCATTTTCATGGCATCAGTCAGCAAATGGGTCCCTGCTCCAAAGGAGCTTACAATCTAAAGATAATAGAACAATGTTGTAGTCCAGTGGCACCTTTAAGACCAACAAAGTTTAATTCTGGGTATAAATTGTCATGTGCATGCACACTGCTTCAGCACATGAAAACGTCTAGCCAGAATAAAACTTTGTTGGTCTTAAAGGTGACATTGGACTCCAACTCTGTTCTATCACTTCAGACCTACACAGGTACCCACCTGAGTCAATCTAGACACAAGTAATGGAAGAGTGGAAAAGGTGGGAAGGGAAACAAAAGGTTGCAAGAGAGCAGCAGCTCTCTTAATTAATTAATTAATTATCATCAGGACATGAGCTTCCTTCAAGGAACTCGTAGGAAGCAATCTTACATAGGTCTCGACCTGCTAAGTTTGTATCGTATGATCTGAGCTTTTTCTGGTCCTAACACTGATGACGCAAGAGCAACAAGGAGTAAATGAGAATAAATGCAGTTACATACATATACTTACATTTAAGTTCATTTTCCAATGTCCTCTAACACAAAATGAAAAAAACATACCATTAGATTATTTATCTCTGAATCCTAGATTCTTTGAATGAAGGACAAGGGAAGTAACCCCTTGGGAGCTCCCAGAAGTATTTGGCTGACCAATGTTGAAATCAGAATGAATGCAGAATGGTCTAGATGGAACTTTGGGTAGCAAGGAGATTCTAAGGTTCTTTAAGGCATAGGTATTGATGAAAAGTTTGCACATGTGGTTTTAGCGCTCTAGCAACCATTTGGTTTCCATCTTTGGCTATTATTGCCTGATACATATTTTTTCTTTCTCTAGTTTTTGGTCAGAAATTGTTAACAGTTGTGAGGGATTCCTAAGTCTCAAATCAACATGCTACCATATGTGTGAGAGAGGACCCTGCTTAGTGATTAGCTAGCATGTATTCATGTTCTCACCCATACAGAGTGTGCTCATAAAAATAGCTTATGTAGAATTTAATGTATTTAGAGAAGGTGAATGCAATATCACCTATGATCACTGTTGTATATTTCCTGTAAACAATTTGCAGTCTGGTTTAGCTTCTTTTCCTCTGTGCCTATATCAAGTTTGATTTTAAAATACAGTTCATTCACCTTTATTTAAAAAAATATATTTGGAGGCTAACCTTGAAATGCTAAGCAGAGTTATACCCTTCTAAGGCCACTGACTTCAGTGGTCTCTGAAAGTTGTAACTCTGCTGAGGATTGCCCTGTAAATACTATTTGGCTGTGTACAAGATCTTTCCCACTACCCCTTTCTGTTTAGGTCCACTCTGATTCCTGACATTCTGCCTCTGAGAGTTGGAGGGCTCTTGGAAATAGCCTGGGGAGACTGTGGTGGGAGGGAGGAATAAGTGGAAATCTTGCATGCGTGGAGGTGCCACTTGGTGGTGAGCAGGGCTATTTTTGGGCAGGAACGCACAGGAATGGAGTTATGGCTGGCTTCAGAGTTGGCCATGCCCTCTACAACCAAAACCTTTGCGTGTGTGGCTACAGAGGGAAGGCCTGGAGAGTGACCCCCCCCGGCAACTCCAAGGTGGGTGGGCCAGGGGGCCCCCTGGAAGGATCAGGGAGGCATTTAAATGCCTCCCCATGCCTTCCCCAGCTTGTCAAAAGCCAGCTTCCCCAGGCTCCCTGCAGCTGTGGGGTGCCCAGGCAAGCCAAGGGAAGGCATGGGGGTGTGGCCTGATATGCTAATGAGCTGTACCGTCAGGGGTGTGGCCTGATATGCTAATGAGTTTCTGCTATTGGGTGTGGCCTATTATGCTAATGAGTTCCTGCTGGTCTTTTTCTACCAAAAAACTCCTGGTGGTGAGTAACATCAAGTCACATCTGACTTATGGCAACCATGTAGGTTTTTCAAGGTTAGGGTTGCCATTACCTGGCTCTGCATAGCAACTGTGGATGTCCTTGGTGGTCTCCCATCCAAATACTAGCCAGGGCTGACCCTGCTTAGCTTCTGAGATCTGATGAGATTGGGCTAGCTTGGACCATCCAGGTCAGGACAAGTGCCACTTACATGAGTGGAATGAATCTAGCCTCCAACCCACTTGATATCAATGGGATTTATGATTATACCACATTGGACCTTGCTAGGAACTGGAAGCAAAAGAATAGGCCCATAATTCATGACTGGCTGATGAAAGTAAAAGAGACCCACACACTGGTAAAACGAATGGCCTACCAACAAGACAGAGATGCATCCAGATTAGAATCATTACAAGGGGTGGACCCGCGATACTCGCGGGGGGTGGGGGTGGGGAGGGAGGCAGAGCTCCAAACGGAGCTCCAAAGTCAGAAGGCGGAGGAGGAAGCAGCAGGAGGAGGTAAGTCCTCCCCCATCCTGCCGGTTCCTCCCCCGTCCCCCCCGCTTGATCTCCCCCTTCTGGTACTAGTTTTTTAACCGCATTGTCAGCGGTAAACCACAGGTGCGCTCCACTTCCCAGACGTTGGGGTGTGGTCGCGCTCGGATAATCCCCACCAGCTGTGACAGGACTATAGTTATTTTTACGGCGGGCGGGCCGGGTCGGGTACATCCTTGAGGCGAAAGTCCTGCCCTCGTGATGAGCCAAGTAAGGAGATGCGGAGGGCGCCGAGAAAGCGGCCTCCCTGGTAACACGCCACAGATAAAGGCCAGCGGTTGAAGCCCAGCCCACCCCTCCCCCAGCACCACACAGAGTCATCCCGCTTTGTCCTTTCGCTCCACGGCCCGGCGCGCGCGCCTCACCCTCCTCTCTTCCAACAGCCGCTATTCGGGCAGCTACGGAAGGCGGAACGAACCCAAAACGACACCCTTCCGCCGCACTCCTCCTCCAAGTCCATGACCCCGCCCGCCCGCCTGCCTGCCTGCCTCCCTGTCTCCCTTCCCCCGCACGCAAGCCCGGTAGGTCGCAGAGCGTCTCCTGCGCACGTGCAGGAGACGCTCTTGCACTTTCGGGGAGATTTAAACATCCCCCCGAATTTTTTTTAAACTTTTTTTATTTTTGTGCACATGTGGGGACTGGCCCACATGTGCACAAACCTCCCCCGGCCCCCCAAGTGCCCCTGAAGTGCAGATATAGATATCCGCATGGAGGGGGCAACTTGGCTATTAGTATAAGGATAGATGGTCAAAGGTTGAGCAGAAAATGGAACTTGCAGCAAAATGTGAGCAATAAGAGTTCTTTCACAGAATTTTTATGGTTTGGCGAGACATACCTATTATGTGTACTCTTTTTATTATGTATATCTTTTTATTTTATCAAATACATATATTTTTAAAAGTTAAAAAAATATCAATGGGGTTTACTAAACTATTTGGTAACATCTTTGGCCTGAGGAGTTTGTACATGGTGATTTTGTTTCCCTTGCAATTTGTCCCTCTGGATCTGTTTCTCATAATAAAGTCTTTGATTATTCCACCCCAGTCATTGATACTGCAGGCTCATTTGGGCTTCTGGTTAATGCTCCTTGTCTGCTGAACATATTAAAAACATTAGTTTGCAAGGATGACACACCCTTAGTGAGTATAATGCTTTATAGTTTTTGAACTGCAAGGAACAAAGGCCATTTTATACTGTTGCTTTTTGGCTTTTGTATTTGTCTTTTTAAATTACTGATTACTGAAAGCCCTCTTGTGAATTTCATATTAAGAGTGAAGGATTTAAGTATTTTAAATAAATAAATAAAGTGACCCAAGAAACACATAGATTTGCATACATTGAAATACCACAGAAAGAGGGTATTCGCTTACCTGTTTCACATAATAGCTATATGAAGGCAAACCAAGCGTTGTCTTATAAATAAATATCTGTTTCATTTTCTTGAAATACATGTTTAGGCATAGTACTATGAGACAGAATGGAGACTGTATCAAACAGGTTCAGGTAAAACTGCAGAGCACTGTGGAATTTGCATTGGGGGGGGAATGAAGAGTTGTTGGTGTATTGCTGGAATGTTCTAGCCAGATTTGGGAATGATTCATATTTTCACATGGCACTTGGTCAATGTTCCCTCTAAGCTGTGGAGTCCTGTGAGCAAAAATTCTACTTGGTGAGCTACTGGCATTAAAGTGGTGAGCGAGCGATTGGGCTACTGCATAAATCAGTTTGCTTTGGAGCCCTCCTTCCTGAGCGAAGACAAGAATGTGTGAGCTGGAGGCTAAAAAACGGTGAGCTAGCTCACACTAACTCAGCTTAGAGGGAACACTGCTTGGGATTGTCCTACACAGTTTGCTGCTATGAAAACTTTCAATTAAGAATTCACGTATGTAAACACAGTGGACATATGGCACAGAGCCACAGTGAATTGTGAATCCCTGGCTTATTCCAATGGCTGTCCTTGAGTATTTGGAGACATGCACTGCCTCCCTCTTGTGCATACATGTTCTCCATTACAATCACCTACGGTATATCCATGGTAAACATTCCTTCTGTATAAGCATGGATGGCATCCCCAGACAAAACTAACTCCCAGGGATCAAAACATTTGGGGGATGGTAAATGAGAGCTCTCATGCAGAGGCACTCTTAGCCTATTAATTCCACTCATATGCTTGATGATTTCCGTCATGTGACCCCCCTAAAACCCTATTCAACTTGCTTAGCACTTTCTGCTGCTACAGCAAGAAGGAGAGAAATAAACCCCAAGGTAAAGCATACTTTGGAAAAAAAGAAATGCAGTTGTTTTTGACTTCCTGCTTAGTATCTGAAGTGCTGGGTTCACCCTGCCTTGGTTACCACCCCTGATTTAGAAACTTTACCCTTAATCTCATGTGTGTGGGTATTATCCACGATCGCTCAATAAAATGGAAGCACACTCTGCTTCTGTTCAAATGTTCTTCTTTCTCATTCCATATCACACCAACCCAACAACTTTAGGGAACAGGCTAGCCAGCCCTTAAATTAACCACTGTGTGGATGACCTAATAGCAGTCCTACATGAGGCCCTGTGCACAGTTGTGTGTCAGTTAAGCTATGTGTAACAACCAGTCCACAGCCTGGGTCAGTTGCACATCGATACACAGCTGTTATGAACCAATCTGCTGATTGGTTATAGTGTAGAAGCAGACTTCCTTCCACATTGGGAACTAATCTTTAAATAATTCCAGTCAGCCTCTGCTACGAGGTTACACAAATTGCTCATGAAAGAACAAGGAGGACAATTTTTACTAGAGTTCCCCTTCACTTCAGCCCTGCTCATGACACATGGATTTGATTCCCTGTCCCTCAACAGAGGATTTTTTGGGGACGGTAGCAGGCTATTTGGGAAAGGAATGGGGAGAAGATTAACTTCCATCCATTCCTTCAGTTTGTGGGAGCTGGGATCCAACCCACACTCTTTATTCAAAGGTGGCCTCATACTTAATAGCTTGTTAACATAACTACAGGTATATGAAAAAACATCATCATTGTCTTTACAAACTGGTGAATCATACAACGAAAAAGGGAGATATAATAATTTTGCATTGTCATATCCCCCTCCAAAGGATGTGAAATCATGAAGAACTAAAAAACAAAGCAAAAATCACCAACCAGAAAATATTATTTTGTGAACATACCAAACAAGAAAAGACAAAAACTAGATGATAGCCAGACATAACCTGGGAGTGTGGCCAGTTATCTATCCACAGAGGAAATCAACAACCCACAAGCAGCCGCTGAAATATTATATTAAAAGAGGCATATATACCGTGTGGAGAATTATGTCAATTAACTGTGCACAATTTAAGTAAAGACCACTTCATAGTGAATCCATCAATCTTGTTCTTATTTAAATCAATGGCAAGATTCCCATTTGTGTCAGTAGGAAAAAGTGAAGGGTAAGACCTCCTGCATTCATGGTTTTTAACACCTCTCTGCTGTAGATTTTCTGCCATAACAATCTTATTTATTCTTCATTAACTTCTCTTCCTTATCCCAACACAAATGAATGCCACAACAACCTGCTGGGAATTTTCTTTTCTGAATATGTATTTTGAATATGTGCAAATAGGGAAGCAGAACAATTCTATTTCTAGACTGAACTGGTGTAAATAGACATTCTGAAACTAGGAATGAATCTGGATACCTATCAGTTTAAATAAATCCAGCACAAAACCTTTTTTTGTGGTGATGCTAATAATAAGGGCACTTACTTATGTTGCTGCAATCTGCCAATGGGAATAACAAAAAAGGGAAATTACCTAATTAACTAGACATTCCGTATTCGTTCTTTATTACAGTCACTTGACCAATCATACGAAACATTTACACTTAAAAATTCAGGCATACAATAGACCAAATAAAACAATATAAAATTCCCTATTATGGGGATTTAGAGCTGTCATTGCTTTTTTGAATGCTTCTCATGTTGATCACGCTAGTTCAACTGAACTAGCAGCAACAAGGATAAGGTATAATTTCCTTAAACATATAGATTGCTATATTCAGGTTCAAAGCATGGATCATCTAGCAACCCACACCGCTTTTCAGATCCTCAGTCTTGATAATGTTAGTCATGTTTAAATCCCAGGAAAATTAATGAGACAAGATAGTTGCAACAAACTCGTGTCACATTAATTTAATTAACACAGCTAACTTTATATGGAACAGTAGGCACTAGTGAAGAACTGAGGCCTTGTGCTTGGGATGAAATATGTTGTTCATTATATTTTACTTTGAGCTATTTGTATCAGCTGCTTCTCTCTCTCTCTCTCTCGAATTTGATATCTGGGCTAGAATAAATGTACAGAATTTGTTGAATGTTGACATTCATATACAAATACACTGAATTTCAAAAGCATGGGTCAGAATGTTCAGAAATAGATATATATTCCTTACTTTTTACTCATGTCGAGTATTATATATAGGTAATTCCAGAGGGTAGCCATATTGGTCTGCAGCAGAAGAGCTGGATTCGACTCCAGTAGCTCCTTAGAGACCCCACAAGATTTTGGGGGTATAAGCTTTTGAGAGTCAAACCTCCATCAGATATGAAGGACTAGCTCATATGTATGTAACTGCCAGTATTCGTTGCTGAATTGCCAAGATATTCACAACATTTTGTTTGGGAAATACAATAGTAATGGATGAAACAGTATTACTCATCATGTTTGCTTGTTGGTTATCTGAAAACTTGATTTGTTCCCATGCCTAATATTAAGTAGCCATTTGTCTATATGCAGGATTATACGGACAAAAGTACAGCAACCGCCTAACCAGCAAGTCCCTGCCTCCAGTCACAGCATAGGTAAGGCAAAGTTTTTTTTTTTAAATATATAATACAGTTAATTCTAAAGAACTTTTAATCACTCTTATGGGCAGATAATTCTGCACAGAACACTTCACCACACGTACTAATGCACCTTCTTTGTCATTCTCCAAGGGCTGAACATGGTAAATGAATTTTATAAATACTGCTAAAAGGTTTTGAATTTTACTGATTATTATGATAAATAGCTTTCACCATGAGACAGAAAATTGAAATCTAAACCAAAAAAAAAAATCGTCTCACTAATGGGGGTCTATAGAATGTCAGATAATTAAAGTAATAAATCAAGAAAGGGATAGTTATTCATAACATTTTCTGCATCGTTAGTCAGTAAGTAGTTTTGAATGTATTTTTTTTCTTCCATCAGCCATCCCTTCCATAAGTCTTTGTGCACTTGTAATTTTGAGTGAAGAGGCAGTAAAACTTTCAAAACTTTCTTTTGGTTCCCCCCCCTGCTTTTTGCCTAATTCAGATGCAGTCCATCTACCTATGGTCACTGAAGAGTGATGGACTCTATATTGGGGTTCTTCTGGTGGAATCTCTAACCAGGGCAACACAGCCTGGTGGCTTAAATACAACTCAGTTAACTAAAAACCACTTGTATAATTTATTCAGGCTGATACAGGTCTGTTGAACAGAATGAGATGAAACTATCTTGAATTAAAGTACTTTGGCTTAACTGAGTTATGACTGCCTTGATCTGTTTTTTTTTTAATTACCTTTTTTCTTCTTTGTGAAGATTGTAATCTTTTTTCCTCCACATCATCCTTTAAAATTTAATACACTAAATTTAATTTGCATTTTTTGAAAACAAAATTACCGCCTTTTCTGCAATGCAGCCATGTTTTCAATATTAACAGCCTGATCAACTAGAATGAAGTTCTTAGATTAAAAGTTTGCATAAATCCATAGATTTTAGGAGGTACTCAACTGGTTTAAATCCAGATCAATGAATTGTAAGCAATCTTTCCATTCTGGGGTGGTTACCCCCTTCCATCTTCAGCTGCACTTTAAAGTAATTAAAAATTAGAGAATTAACAGATAGGGAATTAAATCTACTTCATCTCAAAGTAGACTTTAGACAAACTATAATGTGTGTTTCTGTATGTGGCAGATCCATACTGTTGAATAGCAGGCTTCTAAAATGCAGCTTCCTAGGTACATAAATAAAGATGGTCATCACCTACAAAACCAAAAACTAATGTTACTGATATGAAAAAGTAAACCAACCAGTAGAAAATGAAGCATAACAAAACATCTGGCTCGTGTATTGAATCCAGTAGCAGTATCTCTTTCCAAAGCTAGGATTCCCTGTGTCATCAGCAGAGCTTTGAGCATTGAATGGGTCCCACCTTACCATTTGACAGACTCAAGAGGCAGAGTTTTGATATGATTGAAGTACAATCATCCTTTAACTCTTGGAAGGGAAATGGTTTGCATTTTCTGCCTTAGGCGCCTGACAACTTGGGTGAGCTCTGCTACCTAATTCTATTGGCCACTGTGCTGGGGCTGAGGCATATAGGACTCTAAAGTGACTCTAAAGTGCTCAAGCTGCAATAATCATCAGTGCTGTTTCACCAGTCCAATGGATGCTTGAGCAGTAGGGAGCGGCTGTGGCTCAGTGGCGGAGCATCTGCTTGGTGTGCAGAAGGTCCCAGGTTCAATCCCCAGCATGTCCAGTTAACAGATTCTGCCTGAGACCCTGGAGAACCACTACCAGTCTGCATAGACAATACTGACCTTGATGGACTGATGGTCTGATTCAGTATGAGGCAGTTTCATGTGTGTTCATGTACATTCATGAGAAGTCTCTGGTGATTCCTTCTAAGAAAGCAATGTGATACAGGGGCTGGAGTGTTTGACTTCAGATAGAGGAGACTCAGTTTCAAACCCCTGCTTAGGTAGAAACCTCAATGTATGGTTTTGGGCAAAACTCTGCCCCCCAGCCTAACCAACATCAGTTCGAAGTTGTTAAGATGAAATGGGATAACATTTCTTGAGCTGCTTGGAGGAAGGGTGGGATAGCAATAGCCATGTCTGTACAGGGCCGGCTCACCCGCTAGGCGAACTAGGCATTTGCCTAGAGTGCCTGGTGGTGAATGGGGTGCCGATCTCCCCCCTGCCAAAAGCCCTCGCGGCATTGCTGCTTCCAGCCATGAAGGGCCCGCCCTGTGCGTGGCCTGCGCCCTCAGCCTGCTGCACTGCCCCACCACCCTCTACCTGGCTGAGCCGCCTGCTGCCTTCCTCCAACTTGGACGCTCCAAGTTTCGTGACTCAGCACGTGCGTGTACGGGTTTTTTTTTTCACCACAGCCTCCCCTCCACCCCAGCGCCGCAGGGCTCCTCCTACATCTGGGAGTGTCCCCGCCGCTCTGCAAGCCGATGTCCCCCCAACACCGACATGTCCCCTCCTGCCGTTGAGTGGACGGTCCATCGAGTCAACGCAATTCGGTGGGTCTGCCTGGTTCCCCATGCTGGGGTTGCAGCCGCCCCCCTGCATTGTGCGCACTAGTCGTGAGCACGTGATTGCGGAGCCCCTGGGAGGGAGGCGGGTGGGGGGCTTGGCTCCTCTCCCTCCCTCTGCCCCCCCTGGCCCAGAGGCACCCACAAGTGCCGAGTGGCAGGTGGGCGGCGGGGAGCAATGGAGAAGAGAAGGGAGCGGCGCACGTGGCTGCCCGGGCCTGCCGACCAGCCGTCGGGGAAGGAGGAGGAGGATACGGTCCCGCAGAGTACCCCGGCCTCATTTCCTGCAGCCAGGACGCCTTCAGGGCCCTGGGGAGAGGCTGGAGCACTCCTTTGCCCACTGTGGAGGCGACCCTGTTGCCGGCCGCCAGTGGCTTCCCCGGTGTGGCTTTTGGGGCGGGGAAGGTGGAGCGGAGGGGAAGCCCAGCGCCGCTCAGAGAGCATGCCTGCCCCACCCCCCAGCCTCTCCGGACCCAGGTAAGAACAGTCCCAGGTAAAAAATTCCCCACCGCCGGCTGAAGCGAATCGGGGACTTCCTTCTCTCCAGGCCCCACCTGGAGGTTGGCAACCCTGTAATTAGGCATGCCGGGGGGGTGCCAGAAGGTAGCCCCACCTAGAATGCTAAAAAATCTTGGGCCGGCCCTGTGTCTGTAGCACTATGGTAGCATAATGGTTAGCATGAGCTGTAAACCTGGACCAAATCTCAGCTCAGTCATGAAATTGCTAGGCTGCCTTAGGGCAAGCAACTGTCTCTTTGTATTATCTGTAATACAGGAGTGATAATAGCTTAAGGACTGCATATATAGTATACTTAGGAAAAAAATACTATAGACTAAGAATTAGATAAATACTCCCAGAATTATTTTCTTGTCAGAAGGGATGCATATGGTTTAAGAAGAAAAGGGCAGAATGTTTCTCCCCTGCTTGAAAAATACGGGATGTTATTTTAGGTACTACTGTACAGAACCATTTGTGTGTGTGTGTGTGTGTCTGTGACTGCAGCCAAATCCAGTCTTTGGTACAGCATGCCAGAAAATTCAAATGTTTACCAAAAGCATCCAGGCGGCCAAGCACAAGATTACAAAGGAAGCACAGAAACGGATGGTATTCTGGCTAGGGGTACCTCAGTATAGAAATCAAAGATGGCGGTCATGGCAGGAATCATACACATACCTCCTCATGAATGCTGGTCTGCACACTGATTCATTTGCTTCTAATTACAGCCTCCACAGGTTCCGTGACCCAAGTGTCCTCAGTAAGCACAGACTCAGCAGGTTCCTCCTATTCCATTAGTGGAATTCTGGGAATTACATCCCCCAGCGCTGAAAGCAACAAACGCAAAAGAGATGAAGGTAAAGGAAAACAAAATTGTACATCCCCCCTCTCTTTCCTTGTTATTTATTATAGTCAAGAAAGGACTATATGGAATTGCATCATCAATCTTTATATTGAATACATATGTTCCATTGCAAAACTACTTCCAGGAGGTCAAGATTTTATTTTTTGTAAGTCATTTTGATTATATGTTTTTTATAGGAAAGAACCAAGTGAATATATCTACATACAAACACACATATAAATAAATATGATGGATTTGAAATGAGTGTACAAATGACTGATCAGGAAAACTATGAGTCAGTTTTTCAATAAAATAATGAGATTGTAAAAAGGATATTTTTAAATTTGCTATCTATAGTTTTTGACAATCCAATCTTTGGTAATATAAAATTTCAAATTTTACTTGAAAATAGGGTAGAGAGAGGGTGGGAAAGGATGAGCTTGTGATATAACACCCATAACTAAAAAGATGTAGTTCTGGGCATTCCAACCAACACCAATTACAGCATGAATTGGCAACATGGTAAAAAACCTCTGTCACTACATCACATTAATATGAGAACTGGGCAGTGGCTCTGACTCTTCTCGCATGACCAGTTTGCCTGAGGGCTGATTCGCATATCCATTTTTAAAGCTGGCGTTTTTGAAAAAAGTTTTCTGAGCAATTTAAAGCAATCTATCCAAATATGGAGCTGCGGTGGCTCAAGTGGTTAAGACGCTGAACTGCAGGCTGTGGAAGGTCGGTAGTTCAGCAGTTCGAGACCCGGGTTGCTGCATGACAGAGTGAGCTCCCGTCTCTAGTTCCAGCTCCTGCCAACCTAGCAGTTCGAAAGCAAGAAATTGCAAGTAGATAAATAGGTACCACTTTGGTGGGAAGGTAACACCGTTCCGTGCACCTTGGTGTTTAGTCATGCCGGTCACATGACCACGGAAACGTCTTCGGACAGTGCTGGCTCTTCGGCTTTGAAATGGAGATGAGCACCGCAACCCTAGAGTCGGATTCAACTGGCTTTCGAGCAAGGGAACCTTTACCTTTACTTTATCCAAATATAGAAACTGTGCCATTCTAAGAACACTTTCCCAGGAGTATGACCTATTGGATAGATTTCAGTAGGATTCTGAATAGGCTGTCCTGGTATTGCTCTCATAGTGTTGTAACAGGTGGGGAGGAGGGGAAATGTAAAACTTTGCTTAGCATTCATCAAGCAATCTTGCATTAGTTTTGAATCAGATTTTTAGATGGTTCAACACAAATTCATTAGTATCAGCAACACTTGAACACACCTTGGCGCAAATCTCTTTCTGACAACTTCTAAATTGTCTTCTGAATCCCCATTAAACCACTTTAAAGGTGGGATCAATTTGAGCTTGGGTATAACTTTTAATTGACTTACTTGGTAGATTAAAGATAATTGACTTTGGACAGTTAATCTTTGAAGGCCCCTGTTAAGCAGTGAGGACAAATTGTAACCAATGGAGCTATGCATTAAAGGCACACTTGTTCATTGTTTAAAGGCTATTTTGAATGGTGTCTTAATATAAAAGTGAGTAAAAAAGGAAAATATGAAAGGTGGTGGTTCTTTTGAACAAAGTGTAACAAGTTTTATTTATTAAAATATAAATTATTTCAGAGGTGGTTTGCCATTGTCTTCCTCTGCAGAGTCTTTCTTGCTGGTGCCCCTTCCAAATACCGGCCTTGTTTAGCTTCAGAGACCTGACAAGATCAGGCTGTACCATGCCACACTCCCTCCCTTCCCCCTACTATAAACAATATTTGTATTGTCTTTGATTTTATTACGTAATTTTAATCTTATCATTACATAATTTAAATCTTATTATTATTATTAATCTTAGTATTTATTATGTTTTGTGGGTTTTTGTGTCCCTGCAGCTGTTGCTGCTTTGATAGCTGCCTTGAGTCAGAAGAGATAAGAAGGGACATAAATATTTAAAATAAATACATAAATTTGCACATACTTCCATTAAAGAACCTCCAGCAGCAAATAAGAAAGCAGTTCCTACCATGATGTTCATAGAGTGGTGGTGGAAAGTGCAGTCAACTCACAGCCAACTTAACGGTGACTCTGTAGGGTTTTCAAGGCAAGAGATTAACATTGCCATTGTCTGCCTCTGTGTATCTACCCTGGACTTCCTTGGTGATTCTCCAAACCAAGTACTAAGCAGGGTTAACCCTGTTTAAGCTTCAGAGATCTGATGAGACTGGGTTAGCCTGGGTCATCTAGGTCAAAGCCACCAGAAGAGTGCATGGTAGAAATAGTCGCCTGTTTTCTAAAATGGCCACTGATTCCAGTGGAATTTACTTCCCAATAGTCAGGGCGACCAAGTGCAATGGTGCTTTTGCTCTTTTACCAGTTGGTGCAGAAGAAGCAATTTGAGCATATGACTGCTTCTCTCACCCTTGCAGCCCAAGCTGAACCTGCCCAAAGTCCCTGTTTCACCTGTTAATGGTACAGGGTCATGTGCATATGGAAATCAAACTACAGCACAGAGGATTGCAGCTTCTTAAACACAGCATAGATTGTTGGTTTGCCCATTGTGTTGCATATGCCAAATACAATTTTAGTGTCCCAGTAATTATGCCTGGGCATTTCCACACAAGTGATTTGCCCCGGGGTTGAATGCTTTTGGGAAATGTTTTTTTTCCCTACTTCCTCACAGCATCATGGTGCTTCTGTGCCTTAACTGTTCAAGTTTCCCTTGAGTTTTCTGTAATTTCCCCCAAACCTAATTTGTGGTGATGTTTTGGGAAACCCTGGAGCACAGCTGTGCTGACTGCCATGTGGGCAGGAAGGTCTAAATTTTTCCAGCCCCACCCACACAACAGCCATTTCCCCTGCCCTTGTGGTGGTCATTTCCTCCCCCTGCCACTGGTGGTGCTTTTTGAGTTTTTTTAAAAAATTGGCAATTGACATTGATGGGGTGATATAGCAGTATGTCAATTACCAGGGTTTTTTTTTAAAAAAATCTGTTAACTCCAAAAGAGGCATATACAGGAAAAAACAATCTAGAGAACAGCAGTAGAAATAATGTGTGGCAAATAATTATGTATTCCATAATATTCAAAGCAGTCCATCTTTAGATAATTAATTTTTTTGAACTTCACTAAAATATGATTTTAAAAGATTATAGCTAATATGTTTATATTCGGTATGGACAAATCTGCTTAGCGATTACTGTTCACAAGAGCGGCCTTTAAAAAGCAAATTGATTAAAACATGTTTTAACGTGGATCTGTATATTTACAGCATATTTTAATTGTAAATCTGCACTGTGTGCAGATCAGTCTGTTTGGAACTCTCCCTGAACCTGCTGTGTGGGGAGGGCGGGATATAAATTTAAGAAAATAAATAAATAAATAAGTAAGGCATTCCACATGCATGGTTGCATATTGCAAAAATTGCAAAATCTTTTGTTTTTCTGTTTGGTTTCCCTAAATAAAACTTAGAAATCCAGAAATGTCATTTAGAATTCCTACAATATCAACTCCCCCAATAGTTATAGATGTCTCTCTGCAGCATTTGATTTGCCTTATAGAAGTATAAAAACATGAATTTTACCATTAGGAGGGGTATCACTTATGGGACGTTATTGCATTCTTTTGGTGGAAAGTGCATGGCAATCTTGGCATTTGTAATAGATACAAGGGGCATGAGTTAACATTTTCTGACTTTTGATAAGTGTGTTAGCCTTAACTCTTTTTTTGGTATAGTTGAAATATCTATAGTTCACCTCTAACAATATATTAAAAAATTAAGCAGTAATTGTGACATGCTCACAAGTGCTGTCTGAATAGGTCTAGAGGTGTGGAATTGGCTCTTTTCCTACGAATGTATAACTGTATCCACGGCACAGTATGATTTATTACCTTTTTCTGTTCACCTCACCCTTGACATTCTTTAGCAGATGTCACCAGTCTTTAACTCAGTGGGCTGCATGCGTGGTAGCAACAGGGGCAAACTATATCAGACAATCTTTATTGGTTTATACAGCTGAAAGTGTCATTTTCCCCCCAGTTGTAATATGAACTCAGAACAGATGCGTCTTAGTAGGGGATCGGTTGTTTTCACTTATAGCTAAAGGACACACTACTGGAGGCTGACATAAGAAACAAAATATGCTAGAGTAACTAGACAGCAAAAGCTGCTGAAATAGAGATGAATTCACCTTCCTTTTAAAAAAAAATTGCAGTTGCTTTTATGCTTTCACTACACTGTTCTTTTTGAATGTATTAACCTGTTTAAACTTTGGTAATTTTCTTGTATATAATTCCCATCCCCCCGCAGAGCTAAGTAAGCATATTGAGCAGTTTGTCAGGAAATGTGTAATGATTTCATTTTATAGTTTTTAAGCCCATCTTTGTTGCAACGAAGTCCCGGGGAAATTTTAAAGTGCAAAACCTCATCTCATTAAAAATAATAATTGCTCTACTTTCTTCAATACAAAACAAAATAAGCATGGAAAGTGCCTTTATTTCATTGAAAGCTGACCTCGTTTTTTCCCCCAAGGATTCAGTTTTGAAACAATTGAAATTGTCCAGATCTTTACTGATTACTCAATGATTACCCACACTGATTTTTAAGAAATTAATGGAATATATCATAAATAGTTTACTTGGGATTTTTATGTCCATTAAAGCACATGAATCTGGCCTCAGGTTTACTGTCATATAAAAATTATTATGTTGCACGTTGCCAGTTTTGAAAATGTATAGCAATATTTTAGAGTGGAAGAGTGAATGTAAACACTTCCCAGAGATGTGTGTGGCCCAAGCTGTTGGAAGAACCACACCGATTACTGGTACCAATAATCTCTTGGTGTTATTTTGCTTTGCCCATTTCAGCCACTTTCTATCTAACCATGCATTCTTCACCCAATAGCAGCCAATCAGGTGCCTCAAAGATGCTCACAAGGAGGGCATGAAAAAGATTGCCACCTCATGTATCAGAAAGGGAGTTATGCATCTGAGAAAGCTAGAGAACTTGAATACAGGGGC